TACAAATATAAATTACCATAGCACTGCGTTCTCCGACGAACTCCTACTTATGTGCGTATAGCACTTACACTGAGCAAAAAATCAACCAAAAATTGGTTAATGTTACCAAATTCAAACTTGAAAAGGAGTCAGTGTGATTTTTTATTAATATTAACAATGCCTTGGTCGATGTTTTCAACAAAGATTTGGTAATATTAACTACACTTTTCTTTACATTAACCAAACTTTTTTTTGCCAATTTTTTCGTTTGAATACGTTTATGCTCTGCACTTCACAGGTGCTTTTTCATATTTCGGAGATACAAATGAAAAACATTTCTCATATCATTTTAACAAGTTGCATCTCCTGAATGTTAGCTAATAACAGCAAGCATCTCTGCACACTCAGCTACGGCCGCTTTATAAATCTGCCGTCGTTTGATTTGGTTCTGCACTTCACAGCGGCTTTTTCGTAATTAAGAATTATCTGACTTGGATTGTGAGATCCCTAAAATCAGGGTCTCACCAGCATAGTCTGCTCCTACCCTTGGTCCTTCACCAAGAACACAGGGCATGGACAGCAGGCGCTCATCCAACCTAGCTCGCTACTTTATATGATTACAAATTGGTCGCAAAAGAGACGTAGCAGGGGCTAATTTTGCACACTCTATTACACACTGTTAGTTTTTTTTTTTTAAATATTAACGCAAGATGGCCAATGTTCTAAATTTAAATGCACTAGTGGGCATATAAGTATATATATATTGTATCATATATGTACATAATGAATTAGTGAGTTAGTACAATGTACGTAGTACACAGCTAAATGTAGTATATTCGCCGAGTTAATGCAAAAAACAACAAAGCACATTGTTGACAAGAAAAATGCATGAAAATGAAATCAGTAGATATCAGTGAAAGTAATAAAATCACGCTGCGTCAATTCGAGCATCGTTCATTTCCTGTTGACAAACAATGCCAAGTATGAAAACAATCCATACAAAATATTTATGAGCAATGCACAGCATTGTTGTTGTCCGATGATAAATCATATCCGAGAGTTGAACGTTTCATGTCAGATAGAGTAGTGAAGATAAAAAGCGAAGAGCGTGTAGAATGAAGGGAGAGGAGAGAGGCAAGTTGTATGGAGAAAGTCGCTTGCAGTAATAATGCGTGGGGTGTACTCGAGTATAAAGCAGAAATTTGGCATGTCTTGTTAACGTGCCAGAGATTTCATTTCAAAAACACTCGAAGCAGCAGAATCGCTTGCAGATAGTAATCGAAGAAGCAAAAGCGATACGAAGGTGTTTTCTTCAGCATGCTGCGATTGCAGGCCTTTGAGAGTTTTGAGTGTATTTGTAATTCTATAGAAACATGAAAATTTGTTTTTTTTTTTGCGTAAATATGTATGAACTGATGGTTTCATAATTAACGGCACTTGAAGAAGAGTATTGTAATCATATGTATGTAAATATGTGTGTATATAAATTAGGGTGGTAAAGAAAACGGTTAAAATGTTAAGCTCATATCCCCTGGGATTTTTATAAATGCAACAAAAAGAACACCCGTATATTTTTGTTTACAAAATTTATATTTAGAACTGCCTCAAGGCATATGAAAAACACTTTTCGTAGAATCGGTATAAAATTTTTTAAAATCGATATTTTCGAGCAGTAAACTCTGTTTCCCTTACGGAGACTTACAATAATACCCAATTATATAATTTACAATTTTTTAATACTAAAGATTTTTTATGGGTCCCCCATTTAATTATGTGGGTTTTTTTGGGTTACCTGTAAAAATAGTTAATATAAAAAATGGTTAACGAAATAATTGGATATTGATATTGACAGTCTCCTGAAGATAAGCAGACTTTTCCGATAGAAAATATTGATTTTCGAGAAATTTTTATCATTTCTATGAAACAGTGTTTTCCCCATATAAAATACATGGATAACTTTGTGGGCTTTGAGGCAGTTCTAAGTATAATTTTTTTTTTACAATTTCTTTTCTTTTTTCCATTAGAAAAATTCCTGGGGGTCAGAGCTTAACATTTTAAACTTTTTTCTTTGCACCCTAATGTACATTCATATGTTTGCCTCTTGTCTCAAACTTCCATCGCCTACTCAATCATTTGCGATGAAATTAATGAACTTGCCTTGATGTGTGGGTGGGCAAAACAGATTTTTGAACAATTTTTATTTCCCAGAAGAGGGTGCTTTAGTCAAATTGATTTCAGCGCAAGGTCGTGAGGAGTAAACAAAATCAATACATAGAAGTAAATATACAAGAAATCATAAATAAGTAGATGTTAAAAAACTGTACAGACTAGTACACAGACAAAAATATGACTTACAAAATTTGAAAGATGTTTCTTAGACAAAGCGGTAGTGCAAATAATTTTTATTTTTTTTGATGTGAAATTTATTGTAAATTTTATATGAATATCGTTGTTTAGCAAATCGACGCAAACCAAGTTTTTTGTATATCTTAAAGTTATTTTTGACACTCCAAAGGCGAGAATTCATGTCTAAATTTGGTATAGCCGCAAAAATCTAGGCTATGTAAAATTTTTCCGTTAAAATTAGAAAGGACCCCTTCGAGCAAAACGAGGGTTTAGACAAGGCCACTCTTTGTCAGGTGGCATGTGCAACGTAATGTTGCAAAGCGAGTTGCTGCCGAATGCTAATCACATTGACAACGCCGGCTTCAACACTAGGACATGCTCCAACTGCAGGAGGTAAAAGATGTTATTTTTGCGCTGAACAATCCAAATACAAAGAGCCTCCAGATAATATGAAAAGCATTCGGAGATCAAGTAATTCTTGCTCAAAGGTTTTCGGTATTAAGAAAAAGCTACTTAATTACTCGCATGGGTGCAAAACTCAATAGAGCAGCGACGGGTCCTCCATTCCTTTCGGTATGATCAGCACTAAAAAAATATGAGCTTTCGCATGCTGTAGAAAGCTTACGGAACCACGGGGAGTATGCAACCAACCGCAGTACTTTGTTATGCGAACGAAAGTGCCTTGACCCTGTGAGAGTAATAAAGGGTTAAAAGCAGAGCTCAACTAAAAAAAATTACACTCAACAAAATTTTCAAACATGCTCGTCCTTTTATATTGCACAGAAACGTAAGCGATACCGAACAAAGTTAAGCTGGCTTGGAAAGGTTTTAAGAGAATAATTCTCTACAAAATCTATTGACCGGTTTGCCTAGACGATGGGTTTTGGGGAATGTGTAATGAAATGAAACAAGGTCGCCTGCAAATGAAGGGAAATACAAAATCGCGGATTAGCCTAAATATCCACACTTGAAATGAAAACTGGTGTAACTTTGCAGTGCTAATATTTATGAAGAAGAAGGTTTATTAAGGGTTGAGGCCTCTGGTTTTGTAAAATGAGAAGTTAACTTTGAATGACAGATCTCTTGCAAATTTTAACTCTATCAACAGACTGAAGCAAGAGAGAAGGAAGTTTAATATTGTTACCCGCAAGTCAACTATCTACTGAAATCGCGCAGATTACTGGGTTGCCACTAATATTTTTCCCAAAGAGAGTATACTTTCCGTCCTGTGGTACAAAAATTATTTTTTCTATCTAATTGAACGGCTTCTTTTTAAAGTAAAGATTCTATTAATTTTTTGATTTTTGTCTATAATATTTTTTCGACTAAGCAACTCGCCAGCCTGGGGAAATACCTTGGTATATGACCTTTACAGCTTTCGGGTAGCGAAAACTACAACAAATAACTAAAACTACGACACAACAAGGACCGTTTAACGGAGGTTATTAAAACTGGTAACGATTTTTGGTTAGTAAATTTGCCTATATCATAGTTATCGACAATGTACAGAAAAAAAACAGTAAATTAGTGTGTAAACTGCACAAAATATATAGAACGAGCTCCAACTTGCATGTTGCTTTGTATTTGTATAAAGTATCTTTTAGTATGAACTCGCCCAAAGCATCGTATTGAGACTGAATAGATTTTAAAATTTTAAAATATTTACCATTAAATATTACCATAAAATATGAGTTCCGCAGCGTAATTTTGAAATTTTATACTTATAATGAACCGATACATCTACGCTTGCACTTTAACATATACATTAATCTCTTTAAATAACCTCTGATTAAAAGCAATTACTACACGTCTGCAGCGTAATTCCTTTAATTGCCATTTAATATTTTTACAGCAAATGCCTCTGGTTTTGAGTGCATCGCGAATTTTTCACGTACTACGTATAAATATATGTAGCGCTTTAGCATATTCAGCTCAGAATGCATGCCAGTGCAGCAGCAGATCACCCCATTGGATTTTTGCATATTAATTATTAAATTCAATCAATGGCATATACTATTTCATGAGTCGCACGTTAACAATATTTCAGGACACCACTGCGACGTCGAGGTGTTGGTTAAATCGTGATTTAATAATTCGCGAATGCCTGCAAAGCCAAGCCAAGTAGAAATGAGTAGATGCATGAAATTGGATATGAGAGATGATAGGCAAGTGAAGGTGATAAATATTAAAATTTTGTGAAATATACATACAAATATATTGTGTTCATACAATAGAATTGCCGAAAAAAGTATAATTAGCTGCCCTGATGTAAAGTTCATTTACAATCTCTGTATGGTTGTAAGCCATAAAGAGTCCAAAAAAGGCTGCGGAAGCATTGTCCGGCGGATGCATCAGACTAGGCTGAGCACTTGAACTGCCATCAAGTTATAACTTAAGAAACTTTTATTACATGGTAGTTGAGAAGTGCATATGGAGAAATTTCATAAATTAAATGAGGGAAATTTTCGCATATGCAGCAGTACACAGCATGCATTTTGGCACCCGGTGTTATCAGTCGCGCCTAAACAATGGTTGTAATAGAAATATTTTATTAAAAATGTTCGTCAAAAATGCTACAAATGTAGACTACCGCACATTGACTTTTGTTTGGCTTTGTTGCTAGAAAAGTTCTGATTCCCATTTTAGTTTTAAATTTTGTTTCGTTTTCCACTCACCTCTTCACCTGCGGCATTATTATCTGTCCCGTGTGTTTGCATGCCTCCACACAGGTTCTTCGCAGTTTTCGAATTTTCTCCCGTAATTCGGGACAGTCTTTTGTCTGGCCAACATGGATTAGCATATCACGAAAGAGCGCCACTTGGCTGTTGATTTCCACAATCAGCTGTAACGAAACGGTAAAAAGATTAAGTAGAAGAATAGATAGTAATTAAAGCTAGGCTAAAGACATAAAAAATAAGCTGATATTTTATCTAACTATACTTAAACTATCTACTTACATTAATAGTTAAACAAATGAAAATTTAACTCATAAATTCCTACATTAACCTATACATAAAATATTAATTAAATTGGCTTGCAAAACCGTAAAGAGAGTCATCTGCTAAATTAACATTTGCCAAGTAGTTGATTACCGAAAGTAATAACAATTTACAGCAACAAAAGCCAAGCGAATCAACAAAACTTGACACACTTGACTGCCGCTCTCACAAATGGAGCCAAGAAGACTATTTATTGCTGCCACAATATGCCCTAGAGAGGGATGTATAAATACTAGCAAAAGTAAAAGCAAAAAGGGTAAATGAAAAAATCAAAGGAGCCAAAAGATCTAGGAAAGGTATGTGGAGGGAAGCCGCCTTATTAAAAAGTTTGTTATTTCTATGCAGACCGAATGATTTTAATATTTAAACTCGGTATGCAATTATTTGCATAGGAGAGACAAGCACTTAATTTCAAATTAGAAAGCGTAAGGTAAGAGGAATTTCTCGTAGAGTAGGTGAAATGCTTGGGTATTGCGGGAGAAGAGAATATGAAATGCAATTTGGATTAAAAAGTGGCGCTGACTTTCTGGGTCTAACGTCACTTCCATCTTTTGGAATAGATTTAGTAAATGCGTATATTTTTGTAATGTATTAATTATTTGTCAGAATAGACAAAATCGATCCACTGTAACAAGTAGCTCCCAAACAACAGATCTTTCAAATTTGATTTTTTTGGTCATGACTCCTCCATTCCTGTCCAATGTGAAATTTCGATAGAAAACTTACAGCTAAAACGAGACAAAGATCGGCTCACTACAACCTATACCCTCCATGCAACTGATTGTTCAGATATTGGATTTTACTTCGAAACTCCTTCATTTGGACGGCTAAAATCGAGAAATTTCCTAAGTTGTTTTCTAAGTAATCATACAAAAGTTTACGGAGAAAATAGTCAAGATCGATGCTGTATTATCTTTATCTCCTATACCACTGATAGCACAGAGTGTACAGCTATTTCCCATATATTTATTTAACTCCTATATGTAGGCAGCTAAAATCAATAAATTCTGGGACCGCTTTACATATCGATCATGCACAGTGGTGATAATCATTTAGATCGGGGCTTTATAAGGAATATCTTTATATCACTGATTGTTCAGATATGAGGTTTTTATGTAAATCCTATATCTATGTCTGAGGTGCAGGTAAAAATTTGATTTCGCTCGCGAACAAATATTTTAAACTGCCTTCAATCGGTTGAAATAAAATTTTTTGATGTTAATGAAAGTTATGAATCCTTTGGCATACCCGAAGAAAGCACTGTCCTTACCTGGTTTTTTTTCAATTCGAATTAGCAGAAAATGGTGGTCGAGCTCCAATTGCAATTATTCATTCCATGAGAGCGGGACTGATTTATGAGCGTCATTGAACTGATTTTTTATATGCATAATTTTACAATTTTTCATTTTGATTCCCAAAACTATACAGAAAATGGAACCATAAAATCGTCACTCTATGACCAAGCCTAAAAAGCAGAAATCAACTGTATTTAGCACCCAGTGAGGCTGAGAAGTTTTCTTTTCGGAAGCTTTAGAGCTTCAAATTTCCGCTTGCGGTCTCTGCTTCAAAATTTTCTCGGATTCATAGACAATAGCACATTGATCCTTACTCTGCTGTCTCTGGACTAACTACCCGAAATCAACTTCAATTTATACCACACTTCAGGCTTCGCAAAATTCAACTGCAGAGAGGGGGAGAACATTCAAGCGAGCCCTAGCTAGTGGCAAGCATAGGCAAGAGGCCATAAAAATGTCGAAATGAGTTCGAATTCTGCTGGAAATATTTTTGTGTTAAGTAATTTTGACTGTAGCATTTTCTTGATCACAAGCAACAACTTGTTAATTTGTACAAACTCTGAACATTCAAATTATATTTCCCAGTCAAGACCTAAAATCCAATTGAAAAAAACGCCTTTTAGTACCCAGAGGATAATCTTTAATCATCCCTTCTTTACAAACGCCACTTACATATATTAACCTTGCAAATTACCACATAAATAAATAAGAAAATTTGCGTGCACAAAACTCTATGAAAAACAAAAAAAAAAAAATAACAAAACTTTCGCACAAAGAGGTTCATCATCAGTCCGCCTACTAATGAGTAAATAAGCACACAAAAGTAAATTAAACTCATTTTCTATTTACGCATTACCGCAAGGAAAGTGTTTAATTAAACCTCAATAGTACTAAAAGCCCAGCCAATCATGCAGCTCCTTAGTTACCCAAGCTAGTCACCCTGCTCCCACCAACCTTCCTTCCACCCATCCACTAAATAGGAAAAAGAGGCATCCTACGTTAAGTTTAATGAAAAATATTGGCAATGCTGAAAGCGAAAGTAATAAATGAATGTTTGAAATGTCAGTGCGTGAATGGCAAAAACGTTATATTGCTACAAAGCTAAATACAGAGTGAACACACAAATAGAACCACAAAAGTAAGCGTACACTGAAGCATCTTCATTAGAGCCAAATCCTTTGGGAGTAGGCGGCATCGGCCACAACCGGCGTCGTTTGCCACTTTTCGAGCACATAAAAAATTAAAATGTTACGCTTGTCTAGTTGCTTGTAGAAACTGTAATTATAAATGTACGAGCTTTTGCCGGGCGGTAGAAATTTAATCTTAAACTTACCAGAACGTGTCTAAAGGATACCACAGAGTAAATTTAAGCATTTTCAGCATAGTAACTGTAAACTGAAATGTTTACGGAAAACGAGACCCTAAAGAAAGTTTAGCTGGGACAGAGAAAGATGGAAAAATGAGCCTAAATCCATCTCGGTAAATCTATATATTAATATCTACGCTAACATAAATTTTGTCTGCCTTCGTTTGGCGATTCTACCGAACTGATTTCAGAACCAAAGAACCAAAAAAACCATTGGAAAGGTACTTTTCTGTAGACGTGGAAATTGGTTTCAAAATTGGTTGAAAATTTCGGTCAAAATCGTCGTTTAAAAATTTTGATGAAGACAAAAAAGAGAAAGCAAAAGTGAAGATAAAGACGGAAATGGGGACAATGAGAAATACATAATAATTGGGGTAACTTAAAAAGTAAGAAAATTAATTGAAATTTTTCGATAGGAATCGAAATAAATAAAAGTTATCGAAAAATATCGAATCATCGAAGTTTATAGTTATCGAAATTTATCGAGTTATCCATGCTTATTGAGTTATCGCAACGTATCGAATTATTCAAATTGATCAATGTTTATTGAGTTGTCGAAATTTATAGACACAGAAACTTAGTTGTTAAAATTTACGGATAGTTATCGAGCTATAACAATTTATGGATTTATCGAAATTTTTTAAGTTAAAGAAATTTATCAAATTATCGATATTTATTGAATTGTCATTATTTATAGAGCTAACGAAATTTGTCGAGTTATCGTAAGGCATCGAGTTCTTTTAACTTGCAAAGTTATCGACAATTATTGATTTACTGCAATGGTTGAGTTATCGAATCGATTTTTCAAAAAATATCGAGGCATCGAAATTTTAAAGTTATATCAGTTTACCAAATTTTCACTGCTTATCGAGTTTTATCGTGTTAAGAGGGTGTAACGAGTTTTCGAAATTTATCGATGGCTTTCCATAAATAAGAAACCGATAACCGAGTTATCGAAATTTATATGGATACCCTTAAGCTTATCGAATTATAACGAAATATATTTTTGAGTTATCGAAATTTATCGAGCCCTCGAATTTCACACCTATCGAAGTTAGTCAAGTTGCCGAATTTTGTTCAGTTACCGGATTTTAGTCTTTTTGAAATTCATCAAATTAACGATATGTATCAAACTATTGAAATTTATCGATAAACTGGAATCTATCGGGGCTATTTCAAGTCCCGCCGAAGTCCTCCAAAGACCTTCAAAGATATAAAAAATTGTAGTCACTTTTTAGTTCGAAAGCATGAGATTTTCCGGTAAGTTACTTTGTAACTTATAAGTTTAACTATGTGTTAAGTTATGAAACCTCTCCAAGGCTCTTAAAAACTAGAAAAACGGTAAAATTTCGACAGTAACTGGCACGCTAGTTTTAATTAAGGCACTTGAAATGTTTTAAAGAATTCGACCTATGGTTTTTGGAGACACATTTTGGCAGAATTCGTAATTATTTTTGCCTTTAGAAGGATTAGGGCTAAGTCGGCAAAGTAAAATAAATTTGAAGCTTGCAATTAAGTTTTGAATCGATGCCAGTCAACTTGTCTCTAATATTCCATCGCATTAAAAAAAATACAAAAATGCTTAAAGTAACAGGACATTTTTGCTATAGTTTTGGTAATAAAATATTTATGCGCATAACTTTGGAGGCAATTATTTTGAGTGATCTTAGGCGAAATAAATTTGAAATAAAATATCAACTTTAATTACAAATAATTACGAGTAATGGATATTGCATTACAATTATAGTAGATTTCGAAAGCTAGAGAAGATGAGGTAAATAATAAACACTTTGAAATAAATTCAGAGCACAGTAAGGAATTAAAGAGTAATGTAGTTATGCGTGTGATTGAATGCTAGCAGATGACGGGGTCACGCAAAAGTTTATAAGCAGCAGCCTTCAGCTCCTCTCCGACAAAAGTATCTGCTGCCATGGTAATGCGGATGACACAGGCATTATTGGTATTGAAAAATTTCAAAGGGGCTTAAAATTAAAGAAAGGCTGGTGTGCGAATTTAGGGCATAGCAATAATCCAGCTCAAACCGCCATCATGCCACTCACTAAGAAAATTGATCGGTTGGTCATGAGGAGCATAGCTTTTGAAGGGGTTGTGGTCAGTGTTGCCAGTGAAGTTATGTATCTTAGACATCAAATTTCTGAAAGATTTGTTAGATAGGGATTTG